GACGGTCATGAGCACACTCTGCCCAACTGTATGGCTCTGCTCACCAATAGATTAGACCTGTGCATCCAAGGATTTGGAGCTGGAAAAATCAAAATCCATGGCAATCCTTATTCTAGCGCTGCTGGAACTAGACGTCGATCTAAAGCCCAAGATCCTCGGTTTGTGCAAAGAAAATTCTGGTACCCGCTCCTTCGCTGACCTTCTCCTGCTCAGGCGTCTGGGAAGGCTGGTAGGCGATCAGGAGCGAAACAAAACCAGTTACTCGCACACCATTGACCCAAGAGAAAGGAGACAGATGCTCAGCAAGTGTCAACTAGTGATGGCCACTGGAGGAACCGTTTCTCAAGACCTCACCATACAATGGTCTGTTTTCAACGACTTTGTGCAAGACGTTTCGTTAATGATCATTGACGAGGGCCAACAGCAACGAACTGCCCCAAATGCCAAGTGATCACGCAAGCTATTGCTGGCCAAACGACACGGCCTCCGTAGCAATCGGACCACTTCATGCCATCCAATCTGGCTGAAGCCATGGTAAAATTGCTTGTAGACACTTCCAATGATGGGCTTGTGCTTGCTAAATCTTATCCAGGAGTCCAAGTAGGAAACGTGTGGATCAGTTGTCCCAGAAAGATGCCGCGGACCTCAATGCAATCAACGCAGTGCTTCCAGCCTCGTCGCTTCCATCAGTCGTGGAAAGTTCTTCGTCAGAGGAAGGATCATCCACGGCATCACCTGCTCCTTCCGGTTCTGGGAAGTTGCCAGCCCGGGGGGTGTAGTTGCGGCGTCCAGACGATGTGCATCGAAAAAATGGATGCCTGGAATGGCTATTATCTTTTTCTCAGAAGTGGCCTGATGAAAGTAGAGTACTGTGCCGCGCTGCCTATGGACAAGCACTAGCTCTCCATCGTAGGCAGCACAGATCCACAGGGGTGATCTGTAGCCATCCGCCGCATAGCCATACAGGAACTCTCTATCAATGGAGCATGGGAAGAATCCACTGGTAGTAAGACGGTGATCAGCAGCCCTCGATGCAAGTGCTGTGGCGACTTCCGGACTGAGACGCAGCTTGGCTTTCTGGGCAATGACAAGGCGGTACCTTCGGTTCCGTCAACTGTGGCCGTCATGGCAATTGCCAATGGCGGCCGGTCTTGTGACATAAAGGGAGTATCAAGTCCCCAGTCAAGCATTGCTGCAGCATCGGTTGGGGTTTGAGCAATGCCATGAAATTGCACCTCTCTTCGTTTCAGGGTGTGATACCCGTTGTGAAAGACTGGCGTCTGCGCCATACCGATCAGACCAGCCATGTCTACCGGAGAAACAATGTAAGTGTGCTGGATTGATCGTGTCAGCGCAACAGTTGCCCTCCCAAAGCAGTCTTCCCTGTCGTCCGGCGTGGCTCCGCGTCGTCCTCCACAGGAAGCCGCACCCTGTTTGGACAATGACAGCAATGAGGGCAGTGACTCCTGCAGCTGAGGAGGTCGACACTCGTCCTCCCCTCCAAGAGGTTTGAAAGCTATGTTGGAGGAGTTGGTGCACTGCTGTGCGGTTGCACAAGACCAGGAGCTGACCTGTAGTCCCTTGCCGAATATTCCTGTATGGGTTCCTGAGACATTCCAACAGCACCACGATGTCTTCCACTGCATTACGAAGGTCTTTGGGTGCATCCCAGAAGACGGCGCGGAAGCCTCCACGTTCCACTGTTTGATCATTCGCTACGAAGTGGCCAATCTGTAGTGGTCCATGCCCGTGGGCAACCAGTTCCGGGTTCCGTACTGCAACTCTGGCTTTGTACGTGAGCAGGGACACTCTCGAACTGTTAGGCAACACCCCATCTATGGAGGCCTTTCAGGCCAGCTGCCTCCACGGTATCCGCGCATTCCGGAAGTCCAAATTCCTCCGGTGCGGTGGCAATCAACATGACCGTGACCGCTGTTGCAACAAGGCTGCTCGTTACATTGAGATGCTCAAACGTTCGTGGATCGAGGAGTCGTTGAACTGCTGACGGTAGGTGTTGCCTCTGTACTATCGCTACCCATGTTAGTGTGAATGTCTTGACCAACTCTCCGAATTTGTGAGATGTCAGAGTTGTCATCCTGACACGTATCAGGCCACAGCCTAGCAATGATATCAGAGAGTCGGGTAGGCGGCAGGTAGTCTCCGACTTGATTCAGCGCACGCAAGCCAAGTGGTCGCTGAAGCAGCTTTTTCCGATTAGTTGCTGCCGCACGCCCCTTCGAGAGTCCCCCAGGGGTCTGTCTGTGGTCACCTACAAAGACAATCAGTGCGGGCTGCTGGATGGCTGCAAGGCTATTTCATGATAGTTGCGATACTGCTGACTCTCGTCCATGAAGGCAAACCACACTTTGGCAAGCCAGAGGTTGAACATAGAGTACCTCATGGACAATTCAGCCGTAGCAGATCCGCGCCAGTGGCGATGAGAATCCGTCTTTAGGCAATTATGCGATTCCTATCACTACAGCGGACATCCATGCGCGTGCCATAAGCCTCGCCTTTACCTTCCTCTATGCCGCCGAGAAGACGGCCAAAGGATAATTGGGTCGGCGGGCGCAGGTCACATATTTGATCAGCCAGCGCCTTTGCAGCAACGTTCTCCTTCGTGAATACCACTGCAGAGAACTGCAGAGAAATTTTCAAGCTCACAGCTAAGGGCGATTAGCAGAATTGCCAGGGACCTGGTTTTGCCAGCACCAAATACTCCTGCAATACACAGGTCAGAGCGTCCTGTTAGGCGATCTCGTCGCGTAGTGGTATAATGCCCGTCTCAATACTGGGCATAGACAGCTAGCCGCGGATCGATTCCCCCCGGGTACGGGGCCGCGATCGTGACGTGGTAGACGAGTAAGCCTCAAGTGGTGACCCGCCGAAAGGCAACGGGCGCCGGCCACAAAAAAACAGGTCAGAGCGTCCTGTTAAAATGGCAAGAAGGAGCGCCACAGTGACAGCCAGCACGTGTCCATCTCCATGTCCAGCAGTCTCTAGGTACATCCCGATAAACAGATGGCTCTCGCCAGGTCGTTTATCAAGCCGGAAAGACAATTGCATTTTGCAAATTCACCGAATTAATGCAGTGGCAACATCAGTCATGACGACAATGTGCATACAAAAGAGAACTGAATTGGATCGCTACATAATCCATTGAGCTGTCACCGTGCAAAACAAAAAAAGCAAATAACAAAAACCACAAACCACACAATTATTACAAGTGTTGGTGGCTGCTGTTACTCTAATTAAAGACAAGGTTGCCACACAAAATGACTCGCATCGCAACGCATTCAAATCGCAATCGAAAAAGTCAAAACGCCCAAACTGCAATGCAAACCATCACATGACATGAAACTGAAAACCACAAACATGGAATGACATGTTGATCTCACTCCCTTCAGCGTCTCTTTTAACACCAGTGACAATGGGCTGTACGGTTCCGTTGCATCGCATATGACACTCCAGAAAAAATTGTCACTTCAGTGGCGATCATATAAATCGCAATGTAGCAAGCCAACCACTGCCGTCAAACACCAGCAGTGGATATCATCCAGCATGTCCCCTTCAAGGAATGTTGAAGTTGTAAACGTCCAAAGTTGTACAGATACTTGTCCACCAGTTTCCAAGGGTGTGGAGGGGGGGGTAAACCTCTTTCCAAAAAGGAGAGAGGCAACCCGCCACCCATCCCTGTCGAGCCAGATGTATCGAAGTGACATAAAGTTTGCCTCTGCATTGACATTGATAACCTTGCCGATCCATTCAAGATTGTTCATCATACCAAACAGTTAACTGAAGGCTTCAGAAAGTGCATCACGCCAAATTGAAAGTGAACTTCACGTGCCAATACAAGAAATTGCCACCACAAATAAATTGTTTGATGAGTTGTTGCAGCACAGTTGAATCGAGTGATCCCCACAGGAGAGAAGAAGGCAACACAACAAGAAGAGACAACAGCAGCACGAAACACGTTTCTCACCAACACTAGTAATAAGGAGCTATCAACACGTTGACCGCAAACTTATTACAAGTGTTGGTGGCTGCTGTTACTCTAATTAAAGACAAGGTTGCCACACAAAATGACTCGCATCGCAACGCATTCAAATCGCAATCGAAAAAGTCAAAACGCCCAAACTGCAATGCAAACCATCACATGACATGAAACTGAAAACCACAAACATGGAATGACATGTTGATCTCACTCCCTTCAGCGTCTCTTTTAACACCAGTGACAATGGGCTGTACGGTTCCGTTGCATCGCATATGACACTCCAGAAAAAATTGTCACTTCAGTGGCGATCATATAAATCGCAATGTAGCAAGCCAACCACTGCCGTCAAACACCAGCAGTGGATATCATCCAGCATGTCCCCCCATAACCGTTGCTTCCGCCAAAAACAACAAAATGTCACTAAGGACTTCCTTGACACATGTTTGGTTGATTGAATTTTTGACCAACTCATGGATCTCGCCTCGAGAAGGGTCATCGGCGATGTTCGACGGCGTTGGCACTCTGCTATACCAGGGAGTAGTGCAAGTCGCCATCTCCAGTTTGAGCAGGGCTTCAATTAGGAGGTTGGCCGTAACATTTCGGCCTGAGCCTGAAATTGCAACGTCTCTGGCAGAGTTGTTGTCAACGAAGCACAGTACAGACATGGCAGAGATGATCTTCCTCCATGCAGAAAAAGCAACCACCAATGCTAAAAGTTCAGCTTCAAAAATGATTGTTTTTTTCAAGCCAGCTCCCAAAACCTCCATTTGATCCTTGTCCAAAGCGATGGAAAAGAAGTCCACTTTTACACCGTTAGGGCCTACAAGCACACCCCCTAAACCACACTGCCAACTTGCTGACGTGGGTTCATAGCAAGCATCTCTGTAAATAAACGATACAGTGTCTGAGTTTAAGTGCAGTTGCCTCGGCTCTGCGTGCTGTAGAAAAACCACGAACCTTTGCATTGCATCCATCGTTTTCTTGCTTAACTTCGTCACGGTTGGTGTCAGCGAATGGTTTGTAACCTCTCTCATGCAAAGCTTTCCCAAGCGGCCAAATAGTTGGCCATCCATGAACTGCATTCTTCCTCTTAAACGTTGTGACTCCACCAGGGTCATAGTGCCCTTGCTGATAAGGTTATTAATAATGCTTGTCAACTCCGCCGACCTTTTCTCAGTGTTGGTGAACTTCACCAAACCAGCCGCTGAATTATCCAGAATAATGCGAATGCCAAGTGCTCCAAACTCCTTTGCAAAATCATCTGCCTTGTCGCCTTCCTCTGCGAACTTCCAGCCTAAAAGTTTGAATAACAAAGAGACAGACATGTTGGTGTTGCTGATATGCTCCTCTCTGCAGAAAGATACGTAGTCGTCAAAGAAGCAGCTCCAAATGATGTTCAAAGCTTTCACACCTATATACCAAATTGCGTTTGAGACTCTCAAAAATGAAGACACACTTCTGGTTGCACCAAACGGTGCAGCCAGAAGCTGAAACAGTTCAGCCTTGCCCAACCTTGGATTGTAGACCGCTACAAACGCAAATGACAATGACTTTTCCGCAATGGCAAGTTGCTTGTACGCACTTTTCAAGCCGAATGAGCGTCCAAAAAGTTGTACCCCTTTATTGAACTTCAATACTTCCAAAAGCATAGCTGCGATGAAATCCACTGAATGTGGTTTCGGTGATTCAGCTGTTTGCACCGTCTGATTCACTTTGCTTGAACTCAAATCATCAATAAGTCGAATCTTTGCTGGCTGCTTCAAACCAAATCTTTTGCTGACGACAGCGTCAGGTGGCAAATCACTCAGCTCCATAGGGCCTAGAGCCCACCCAAGCTCCACCTCCTCAAGTGTCTTGTTGTAGACAACATCATCAACCTCAGCATCGCCTGAAGACGAGCACTTGTAAAAGTTCAAGAGCCTGGCCGCTCTTCCAGACGCTTTCAGCTGTTCCGTAGTGATTTCTGCTGGCCTAAAAGCCTTCTCAAATATGCCAAACGGTTTCACCTCGCCCACAAGCTCCGTTCCATTCACTAGTTCTTCATAAACTCCCAAGTCAGGGTATCCCACATCCACCAATATTTCCTTGAAAAGTGTAAGACGTTTTGGCTCCAAAATACAAGCCGCATGATGTGGTAACGTTGACTTAAGTTCTGCATCCACTTGTGACAACTGCTTTGCCCTTGCTGTCCATTTTGCAAACCACCTGGCCCTTTCCGCTGGTAGGTTTTGACAAGTTGCTGTTTGAAAATTGTTTTGAATGGCTACTTGTAAAATCTCAGGCACCAGCCTTGCGAACAATTTAGGATGCCCTCTGGACACCGCCTCCTCCATGAATTCCTCCGGGCTGAAAGGGACTCCCCACGCCTGTTCAAAAACGTCTCCAGCACTTTCTTTTTCAGTTGCAAATTTCTGATTAAGTCCTCCCCCACATGACCGTAAAGGAGTCTGCCGCAAAAGTTGAGCCCCCACTGGGAGCTCAAGTACTGAAGAGTTGCAAGTCTCAGGAACTTCCCAAGTTGACTTAAGACGCTGCATGGGTAAAATAGGAACTGTGCACAAATCCGCATAGGGCCCCGTAACCAAAACAACGTACTTGTGTTCACGCACCACAGGTGGCATTTTAGATGCCTTCGGTTGTGCTGTTGCTGCTGCTCGCATGGATTTCAGTGTCACTTCTGTGCCATGCAGTTCCTCTTGTGGAGGATTCCATCCATGTGAGGCTAGGATTTCCGCAAAAACTTTTGCTATCGCATGAGCTAACCCTCGTGGGTAAGCAGCTTCTTCACTTGTTGAAAAATGAGTGCCAACTTCAGATTTCACTAGACCCCAAGGTTTGTGCTTATGGTGATCTCCCTCTCCAGGACAGCATCGATTGATGATGGAAAAACCAGAATGATTCCAAGCCAGTACTGTCCACTTGGGCCTCTCGCCCCCGTATGCACACGCCTGATGCGCCGTGTAATGCATCGGCACCTGAATGCTTTTCCAAAACCTTGTTAGCCAAAAAATGGATGACCGAGGGTTCTCCACCACTACCAAAAGCCCCAATGAATGCGCTTGCGTCACAATGGTTGCAACAAAATCATACAGTTTGTTCGCTGCTGAAACTCTGGCTTTATCTCTGTCACTTAACCCTGGTAACCCCTCTGGCCAGGTCGAAGATCTTAACGGCCTTGGCCCTTGTATTTTTCTGCCTTTCTCATCACGCAATTGAATGTTGCGTGCCGATGAACACGTTCCACATGGCGGCGCTAAAAATACTCCCACAACCAAGGGTGAATGCAACCATTGAAGAAAAACTTTCTGATCTGCTTCTATTGTAAGGTCCAAACGCTTCGCAGTCGAAGTCGCCTTATCCAAGACATGGTCGACCCCAAAGGACTCTTTGAGGCCCAACTCCTTGAGGAACGCTGTTACCCTGGCACTGCCACAAAACACTTCTATAACTACAGGACCTTTCAGCTGGGTTGAGCTAAATGCAAAATTGGTGTGCTTGCCATCTTTCACAGATTCCACTGGTTCAACTTGACTTTGAACAGGCGCACAAACTCCGAGCTCCTCACCCAGTTCTTTTGCAAAACTTGTGTCAAAACTGCATTCAATTGCACGGTCAGTCTTCGCTGTCATGTGCTCTTTGGTTTGCTGCAAAACTTGGTTGCTGACATCAACACGCTTTGTGCATGAATCACTCGATGCAGCTAACTCTGGAAATTTTTTATCTGAAAAACAGATTGAAGCTTCCACACATCGGTTTGATGTATCACTGGTAAGGCTCCCACCGCAATCTCGTTGGCCACCGAGTCAACTTGACTCATGTTTTTGGATACTGTGCACTCCATAACACTTTGCACAGATGTGCAATCCTCGCCTGCACTTTGCACCGTCCGCAGCATCTGCACACCCAGAGCCGCTATTAAATCCAAAGCAAATTGCATCACCAGAGGGATTCGAAGCTGTACCTCCCAACTTGAAAATATGGTTGGGAACACGAACTTTCCCTTTTCCACCTTTCTTCCCACCCTTGGGCTTGATCCAAGGCTTTTGCACTGAAGTACTGAAGCAGTGGCACCCTTACCACCATGACTTGTAGCCGTCTTGGAAGTCTTGGTTGGGCTTGGTGCGTTGTCCCTTTTCGCAATCAACGGTAACAGGGAGAACGACACACGGTAGCTCTGGAGACTCTCCATGAGCTTTGTGTCTAAGGCCAACGTGCCCATCTCATCTCTTTTTGGTTGAACTCCTTCCTCCAACAACATCTGCCATACTGTTTTGTCCGCAGAAACCAGCTGACTCACGGTGGTCCTCGCATAGCCCGCCGGTGGATCTCTGTGCAAATGCCCAAAAAGTGTAGTCAGATACCTGGTATAGCTCTCATGGGTAATTAGATCTGCAAACACCAGTGCTATGCCACGCCTTTGAAGGGCTTCTTGGACTTGAAGCGCTGATGTAACTGTCATATCTGGAGTATCCTGCTTTTCCTTCACAATCAAGTTCTCCGCTGAAATGTCCAGCTGCTTCGTGGGGGACTTCTGATTCATCACTTCATGAGTCCTTGAAATACATTTTTCGGGAGGAATGTATTTGATTTCATTGAGCTGCATCATACTGGCTGTAGTGTCCAAAAGGCCGTGTCCAGGTTCAAGCGGCCCTTCGATGAGTAGGCCCGTCAACCTCTTTTTGATTGCCCTCATTTTGGATTCCCGCTCTGCAATGGGCACCTTTTTGATCGCCGAACTGTCTGTAGTGTTGACTTGGTCCTGCAGAGATGCCAGGACGATGGTTTGGCTCTCGAAGAGCAGCCTCTTGGCACCGGCGATGTCTGCGATTGTTGCACCTGTCAGGAGCTGCCCAGTGACCCATGTTTCAAAGCTCTCGTCTGATATGTTTTGACCAGGTTGGCCATGTGCATAGGCGAAGGTTCCGAACGTTTTTAATCCAGCCCTGACCAATCCACGCTTCAATTCATCTGACAGCTTCAGGTCAATGGTCCGTTGTATGAACTGAGCCTCTGAGTCAAGCAAACTGGCCATGGCAATTCGCTCTAACTTCTGGACTGAAGAGTTTCCAAGAAAATGAAATTCCAACTCCGTTTCGTTTTATGCAGTATTCAACTTGACTAAACAACACCAACTTCATCGCACTGAAACAGTTCATGCGACAAGTGACAAGTGATGACCCTGATTTGAAACAAAAAGGAAAACGTTCAACACAGTGCCATTTCACCAATCACGAAAAATGTTTCTGTTGCTCAAATCTTGACCCTTTGAAAACTGTGCAGACCCTCTCATGAGCCACGCTACATGGATATCTTTTCGGCCACGCCGCAAGAGGTCTGATACCCCTCCAAACAAACACTTCAAATCACTCAAACTAAAACCCATACACAACTTCTTGCCAAATTCTCACCTTTTCCATAAGTGATAGCTGCCATGCAGCACTACAGGTGCCACGCAACCTGTTCCAACCATGTGCCTGAACTCACCACGTGAGAAACGCACTTTTATACCGCAGTCTTCGGAAGCACTCCGTCTTTGACTGCATTTGTTCTACATCTGCGACACATGTCCACTGAGTCAAATGCTGCAATGGGCTTGTAGTTTTGGTTCAAGGCCCTGCCACATGAAATGAGTCTGGGACCAGCGCCACCAGCTACAGATTGGTCTGCGTAGTGGACCAAGTGCGACACTTTGTGCATCACAAACCTGTCTGCCAACGGTCCAGCCATGCAATGTCTGTAGCACTTGGGTCTAGATTCTTGGACCTCTTCCTCAGAATCTGACCCTTCCAGCGACTCTGAACCGTCTGAGGATGCACTGCATGCATCCCCATCTTGCTCACCATCACCGTCCAAACCATTTTGGACTGGTTCCTGCTCGCTCGCTTCATCTTCAACTTTGACACACTCCTGACAAGAGCTACTAGGTTCCTCAACCACCGGCTCCACAACTGGGTAGTATCCACTTCTTGGGGCATCTGGCAAAAATTCCTCCTTGTGAATCTGCAGGATGAGGTATTGCAGTCTCGACACAGCACCGATCGACAAGTCCCTTGCGTACACCGCACTTGAATCTGAGTAAGCACTTGTATGCCGCCCCAGTATTGATTTGTCCTGTGCCTCCATGCCAGCTTTTGATGCCCATGACAGCACTGTAGCCTTGAGCGAGTGGGATGAGAGTCTCGGCCCTCCTTCCCTGTTTTGCGCCACCTGCTCTCCCAGCATGACTCGGAGAAATCTCGACACCTCCTGAGATGTCAAACCTCGCTTGCAATAGCTGTTTCCATTTGCACCAGGCGGCCGGAACAAGGGCCCCCCAATGCGGCCATCTAGACTGAGGCCATAGTTTTCGAATGCCAGTTTTGCCATTGTAATCCACTCACGGCCTTGAACACCTATCGCAGGCAGTACAATCGGTAGCAATCTGGACTTCTGAGCTGCCGTCCTGGACGTTTTGTGCGTCCTTGTAGTCAGTTCCAGATAGCCACCCTCTGGGCCCAAATCCACAAACGCATCTTCAATGTTCTGAAGGTCACTGTGGCGACAACGCCCATACAAAGCAACCAGTAGATATGCTGCCACTGCCCTATCTACCACATTGCATTCTGCGGATTCCAACAACTCATGTATCATCAAAACCTGCCTTACGGACAAAACCAGCGCCTGTCTCAAAGGTGCCTTGACAGCGTACATCAAGTCAGAAAGGCCTTTCAGCCTCTTGCTGTTGCAGATACCCTCCAAGTCGTTGAATCCAAAAACATGCAAAGCGTATGCACATGCTGACAGGAAACTCGACCCCTTTGTTGGGGCTGCTCCAGATTCTCTCAACTCACGCAAGTATTGCCATGCCTCCTGTTCAGAAAAAGGTTTTCCATCGTTGTCTGAACCTTCAGCCCTCCAACGCAGGAACTTCAAGAGAGAGTTTGCCCTAGTGATTGCTGTCGTTCTTGATCTGATTCCAATCACCGCTTCAATTGTTTCAAAAGCACCTCTCTTTTGTTCACCAAGGTTCCCACAACTGATGATATCTCTGCCAGTTGAAGAAGCCAACATGTTCACCCTAATGATGCAGTACCATTTTTCCACTGCAGTTTCAAGCAAATTTGTTCGTTGCTGTTGAAAAGACATGTCTGAAACCGTTGTAAGAGCTCGCTCAAAAAAGGCTCCGACAAGCTCGGGACTTCCACCTGTAGGATCCTGCAACTCGTCCAACTTCTCTTCAGCAGGGTCCAGGTTTTGGCACACCCAAACTCTTGGCTGTTGGAAAACATGCTGCAAATCATTAGACTGCTTTTTGAAGATCTTTCTGAACACACCACGCTCCCAGGGCATTTTAACCGTCAATGGCCCCCTGGTGCACAAAAATGCATGAGTCAAAAATTGGTCGAAGCCTGCCTCCGACATCACTGGTCCTCTCGGCACCTGACTTGCACCTAAGTCCAAGGCTGCTTTGTCCCTGACAGCAAGAGGTATGTCAAAATTGTGTGAACCTGCAGGCGAAGCACAATGACCACTCACTTCACGCAAGTGCCCTCATCAAAACCGATGTCAACAACTGGTTCAACATCACCTGAAAACAGATCCAAGGTCTCAGCGCCCACAACTGGATCTTTTGTGCCATCGCCATGCCCATCACTTGCAATGGAGTGAGCAGCAACATCTGAATGCAAGCCTTCAGTTGCCTTGTACTCCGTCAGTGTGTTCACCCTCCATGGCATGACTGGCAACTGATTCAGACGATGACTCTGAAAAACTTCCGTTGTCAGAAAATTCCAAGTCCCAGTCACCCCCACCTTGACCGACTGCAAGTTGCAAGGCCGGTTGCACCGGCGGGGTCGCCACTGAGAATCCGGAACCCCTGTATTGGATTCTGACCGCAGTTGCACTGAGAAGCAAATCTTTGGTGTCAAGAATCAAGTAAACACACGTACGCAAGTATCGATGAGATTCAGCAGGCGTCAGCCAAGATAAAATGACGGATTGGATTCCGAACCAACCTGGAATGTGAACAATGAAACCTTCCTGAGGATCGCACTCAGCAAATCTGTCCAAACTAATCCACATAAACCAGTCCAAAAAGAATCCACCAAATGGCACTGCAAGCTGACAGGAATCCACTGGAAAAAATCAGCAGAACTCGACACCACGAGAGCTGAACTGTTGCAACCGGCACAGGCCGCAATGCCAGGGGTGAAGAAGCCGCTATGCGCCCCCGCTCACGCGCTCCCATGTAATGCAATGCAGTGCACAAAAACTTGTAACTTCTGACATGCTGTTGACACAAGAACTCAAACTCTGGATAAAAACAAAAACCCATGCAACCAAAAAAGTTAACATGGCCCATGCAACCCAGTAAACCTCTTTCCAAAAAGGAGAGAGGCAACCCGCCACCCATCCCTGTCGAGCCAGATGTATCGAAGTGACATAAAGTTTGCCTCTGCATTGGCATTGATAACCTTGCCGATCCATTCAAGATTGTTCATCATACCAAACAGTTAACTGAAGGCTTCAGAAAGTGCATCACGCCAAATTGAAAGTGAACTTCACTTACCAATACAAGAAATTGCCACCACAAATAAATTGTTTGATGAGTTGTTGCAGCACAGTTGAATCGAGTGATCCCCACAGGAGAGAAGAAGGCAACACAACAAGAAGAGACAACAGCAGCACGAAACACGTTTCTCACCAACACTAGTAATAAGGAGCTATCAACACGTTGACCGCAAACAAAACACAAAAACACCCAAAAAACACACCAAAAACCAGCACGGCCGGTGATCAGCTGATCAGTTCACAGGCATCTGAAACGTACCACAAGAGGCGATAACATTGTATGACCTCCGGGATTGGTATGGCAAAGGATAACAAGAGCGAACAAACAACATCACAGAAATGCCATACAGTAATCTGTGAGCCAGGAAGCAACAAAGGCACAATGCGGAAACCAAGGCTCCCCCCAGCCAGGAGCCTCGAGATCACAGAGTGCAAGCCGCACGGGCAACATTCTCACAGATACCTGGACACTATCCCAGCCAGCAATGACACTGCCATGTGGCAAATGGAAAGTTGAAATCGGACATAGTGAAACGTGGGATCCACTTCCATCACCACAAGGCGACGGCTCTGGTTGGGAGTTATCGGCCTGCGGTTCGAACTTGTGTGAAGTAATGGGCATGAAGCTGGCGACGGATCTCTGCCATCTCCATCTGGAGTGGATACGCTTCTTCTCGTCCTGGAGGGATCGGAGTCTGATGATCGGCAGGAGCAGGAAGGGGCACTGATTTTTTTTTTCCCTCTGGTATGGCCGATCACGCTCTAAGGCTCGGTCCTTACATGAGAAGAAGCTGTTAGTAAGAAAACTGCTACATGGACGCCGGTGGTCGCATGCAGCTTGGCAAATCATAACAACCAAAACACAAACCGAAAACACAAGGCAAGACGCAGATCCCCCAGCCAGATTTGCGTCTCACCATCCGAAAGACAGCAAAGCAAACAGCAAACGGGGCAAGAGCCCAACAAGAACAACCACAAGAGATTTGCCAAGGACACAGTGGTAAAAGCCCACTGTGTCGCAATAAACTCAAAAACATGCAGCAAACGAATTAGTAGCCACCCAGAAACGTGAGACATGCGAACTACGTTGTTGCCAGGAAGACAACAAAAAGTCGCGTTTACTATACACTGTTGACTAACCCAGCCTCTCAGAGTCCACTCACGAGTACTTGTTCACGTGCCCAAGTTCAGAGAAAGAGCAAGTACCAGAGGGCGTAAGCACGAGCAGGAGGAATATGACATTGGCGGCCAGGTGTCTTGTGCCCTTCCCCATTGCGGGGAGCGGCCCAGTGGCGACGACAGCGCGGTCACACAGGGCTAGGTGGGTGACCATCCGTAACCAGCCACTAAAAACTTATGCGTCTCAAGGTGGATATGACTACCGTGCCAAGTCAAGAAGAATACCGTTCCAGGCACTATCAAGCATGGTCAGCACCTAGTTGTTGTGCCTATCGACATGCTTGCAGCAGCTATAGACTCATC